TTCAATGAAGTTCATATTCATCATCTGTGATGCTGTCTCCTATCAGATCAGTTTCTGTCTTGTCTTAGATGTTATGACTGAGCTGATCTCTTTCAATCTGCAGAGCTGAGTCTGATACTTCTGTCTGATTTTCTTGTTTAGATTGATCTCTCTTTGTTTTGCATCTGTCTGATGCTCAGACTTAGAGTCTGAACACTTCAGTATTGATTGAAGTACTATCTTCAGCATCAGCTCTGCTATCTGTTCAGAGATAGATCATTCACTCAGTCAAATCAGACATTGATTTTTAACATCAAGTCATATATCTTGTGCTGTCAACCACTTATATTCCAGAATGACAGAGTACTGGTCTAGATCTGTCATCAGCAGAGAAACATTCTGAAATCTTCAGTCATTCATTCAGAGATTTAGAGTCAATGTGCAATCTATCACCTCATTAGAGACATCATTATATTTCTTCATGTGACATTTGAATGAGAGTTTCTGAAACTTTCTATTGAAGAATCTTGTCAATTCTATAGCATATCAGATATTAATAAAATTCATATCATTTGCTCCAGTATCAGTGAGAGAATTTATAGAAGTAGCAATTTCATTGTGAGCTAATTTAATTAGAACATTAAAGCTCTTTCTCTCAATCAAGTTCTTCATCTCAAATCTCTCACAGACTATTGAACTATCTGAGATGAAGTCTTCTCTTAGACTCACTTTTTTTCTAAATCTGCTGAAAACTCAGAAGTGTCATTCTCTGTGAGCTCAGTGATTATCTGTTAAGACTTCTGCTTCACAGAGCAGTTTCTGACAATGTGATCTTTTTTCTTGCAGTAGTAGCACTGAATATCTGAATGAGCACTCAAGACTTTCTTTATGATAGAGAATTTTATGACTGAGATGCTGTGGAAAGTTTGACTGTCAGAAATCTGTGAGATGTTTTATTTGAAGATATTAAATTTATTTCTCTGCAAGCTTTTTGACTTCTGAGTGACATTAATTGTCTGAAAGATGTGAGCTGTCTGAGCACAGATCTTCTGAAACTCAGCATATGTATTGATGATTGCATTGACTATTGTCATCATTCTCTGAAAATCAAAGAACAGCTTGTCATTGAAGTCTGTCTTGTAGTTCTCTTTGACAATCTTGACCTCATCTGTCAGATGTAAGAATTTTGTGACAAATTCATGATAATTATTCTCATTGTCCATAATCAGCTTGTGATAATTACTCTTGACATTTTACAGCTTGTTAGCATTCTCATATATTGACTTGAGATGCTCAAATATCTCTTCTGCAGTCTGATATTGCTCAGAGTGATTCTCTTTCATACAGAGTGCAATGTGATGTGCTGTGTCTCCATCAGTCTGGTTTTCAATGTATGCAATTCTCATGCATTTAGTAGAGTAGTGGTCAACATTCTCTCAGAGTTTGTTCTTCATCTGAAAGAGTCAGTGTTCAAATTTTGACTTCTTGCTGTCAGTGAGATGTTTTGAGTCATCAATCTTAACAGATCTTCAGATAGTCTCAGAGGAGATGACTTTTTAACTTACTGCTTGATTGCTGACTGTCATGCAGATCAGAGTGTGACTAAGTTCATCATATTCAGTAATTAGCTCATCAATTTAACTTTGCTTGACAGCAGTCTGATCAGTGATGTTGTTTCATTTTATTCTCAGATGTGTGATTGTATCTCTCAATGTTTTTTCATGATTAAAGATGCTGTCAAAGATTGCTGCTAACTTTTTATAAACATGATTTTTATCTGAGTGAATCATCTGTCTGAATTCTTCAAATGAGATCTGTGATTGATTGATTGATCTATTTAGAATATATCATCAGTCTCTCTTAAGTTTTTCAGAGAGCTGGAAGTCTGAAGTGACTATTCTGGTCTGAGTTTCTCTGATGACTAGAGAAAATAAGATGAGTTGCTGTTGTATGTTGTGCTGTCAAATTCTTGCTGAGCAGATTCTACTCAATTCTGAGTAGAAGAGATAGAATAAAGCTTAGTATTATATTAAAGAATGAATGCAAGCTGCATAAGAAGAAAACTCTCTGCATTGCTAACTGCTATATAATGAAATACTAAGCTTGATGAAATGAAAAAGGTGCTGGAACCTGCTCAGATTATAACCACTCACATGATCATTTGATCACATAAGAATATTTAATCTAATTGAGTGCTGAGCTTAATCTGACATTAAGTCTAACTGAGCACCAGGTCTTGATCAGACTTGGTCAGATGCTAAGTCTAACAACTATCACAGCAAAGTAATTAAAGCAGAGTAATAAAAGCAGAGTAATTGAAATAAATAAAGTAATTAAAGCAAGCAGAGTGATGAAAATAAGTATAACAATTGAAGTGAACTGATAAGAAGTATATTATAAAAATGAATAGAAGAAAGAGCTAGAAGTTAATTACTAAGTTAATATATAAAATTTTATTATAAATTTAAAGAAGATTTAACTGCTAAATTAGAAAATTTTGAATAAATATATAATTCAAACTCTGATATTGTGTAGATTATATTTAACTTAGTAATATAAATTATTATAAATTTATTTAAAATCTAATAATAAAAACTTTAAACAAAATTAAAATCAGAAGTTATTAATTTTAATTATAAAATTTTTAAATAATACTTTTAAATTTTTAATAAAAAGAAGTAAGAAAAACTTTTATAGTAAAAATAAAAATAATAAAAAAATAAAATAAATATAAAATTAAATATTTAGTATAATCACAATTATTGAAAAAATCATACTAATATGAATATAACTATAAATATAGAGATAAAAATTTTAAGAATTAGTATAGTTACAATTATTCAGAAGTTCATATAAATATAAATATAAATAAAAAACTTATCTATTCAATCTTCAGAGCTTTTTGAAAAAAAATATAATATTATATTTTAATTAAATTAAAAACATGATGATAAAAAAATAAAAGCTTTAATTTATATATTTAATTAAATATTTATAATAATGATATTAAACTAAAAATTAAAATATAAAATAAACAAGTACTTAAATATATATAAATGATTAAAAATTGAAATAAATCAATTTAAATAATTAAATATAATTAAGAATTAAAATCAATTAATTTTTAAAATAAAATAAATAAATAAAAATAATTATATATAATTAAAATTAAAATAAATTAATTTTATATTATATTATTAATGATTGTATTATAATAATAACTAAGATGATTAATTTATTAATAAATTTAATAAATTTTATTTTACATTTTTTTATATTTAGCATAATTGCTTGAGAGTAAGTATTTTTTTAAATTAAAAAATAATATTTATAATATAGTTGCTAAGAATATAAGATAATAATAATTTATTTTAAACTTAATTATTTAATTATTCTTATTAATTTACTTCATATTAAAGATTAATTTATTTTAATTTTTAATTATTTATATATATTAAACTATTTATTTATTTTTATATTTTAATTTTTAGTTTAATATTTTATTATGACTATTTAATTAAATATATAAATTAAACTTTTATCTTATTATTATTATTATATCTTTAAATAAGTTATTATATTATTATAATATTAATTATAATATTTTTTATATTTTTAAATATTTAATTTAATCATATTAAATATTTTTATAAATTAATTTATAAAATTAAACAAATAATAATTTACTATAAAATATTTTATTTTTTTTATTATATAATTTATTTATTAATTTAATTTTATTTATTTATTTTAATTTATTAATTTATTTAATTTAATTTTTTTTTATATAACTTTTAATTTATATTATAATTTTTTAATTTAATCTATATAAATTATTATTTTTTTAAATATTAAAAATAAAAATTAATAAATTCTCTTTTAAAAATAATAAAAATAATTAATTTAAATATGATATTTTAACTTTAATCTATATATAATATATAAATATTTTAATTATAAATTAAAGAAACTAATTTTAGAAAATATTAATATAATTTTCAGAAAATAAATTTTTAAAAAAGTATATTTATATATTTTTTTGTAGTATAATTATAAAATAATTATAAATATATTTTTTTAATTTAGTAACTTTATATTACTAAATAATTTAAATAAAATTTATTTTAAATTATTATATAATATAATTTATAAATATTTATATTTTAGTATAATATTTTTTATATTTATTATATTTATTAAATTTATATTATAATTAATATATTAATTCAAAATAAATATATAAAAAATTATTTATAATATTTAATAATATTAAATTAATTTAAATTTTAATATCTTTTTTTAATAGTATAAAACATTGAAAAATAATTTTATATCATTATCAATACTTGTAAAGCTATAAAATATACTTTGATTTACTTTTTGATTTATATTTATTTAAGAGAAATATATAAAGAAACAATAGGAGAGATTTCACAAAATACATCAACATGGCTTATCAATAAGTCAACCTAGTATTAAGAAGGGAATGTAGACATACTAACCAGTCAAAACAAGATATATCAGGTATCATGCTGATAACTTCATACATTCCATAAATCAAAAGCAGTGAATTTGGAAATGAAGAAATGAACAGACGACTATTCCACTCGGGGAGGGCTCCTGGGTCTCTTCTCACGTGGGATATCCGCAGTAACGTTGTAGGACGTGATTCCGGTTGTAGTAGTGTTTGTGAATGATCTATAGAATGCTCGTTTTGCAGGAAAATCCAAGGGCCATTAGGTTGCCCATTGGTTCCGCAGAAATCTTAGTGTCAATTCTTTGATTTGATGCACATGTATGAGGATATGTACACGGCCATTTTGGATTGACGGGCCGATGGAGGGGAAGCAAGCCCACATCTCCTGAACCCAGGTGCTTGTTCAGGCAGCCAAGGCGGAGTCGGGAAGAGATATAACGGGAGAACGGGAAGTATGGTGATAAGCAGCAGTCTACAGACGCAGAAAAGAGTGATGATAGCAGTGAAGATATGCACGTACGATCTTCTCCTTTCTCCCTTCTTCCTAAAGCGTTCGATGATGCGCACTATCTCCCTGCGCCCGTTGCTTGCGTTCAGCTTCATGCCCCCCGAGGCTCATGCTTATTTTCTCGGACGAGGTAGCCACAAGCAACCGCTTCAAAAGCAGATGGCGCATCTGCAGACATACGAATACTCCGCAGTCGCTGCTATTCTCCTGGACCGGAGAGTCGGAGAGGTTGATGAAACGAATGTGGGTTTTGTCAAAGTAGAGAACCTGAGTTTTCCGGGTGGACTTGGTACGCTTTCATCACGGATTTTCCGGGAGGCAAGGGAGTCGTAGTGGAAGGCGAAGGGCATCGATCACGGAAACGAGCAGGAGGGGCCCAGTGGGTGCGCCTCGGCTTCGTTCCCCATGCGGCAATCAATGATGGGGAGGAAAATGTGGGTGGTCTTTGTGAAATCGGGGAGAGCTTCGCGGAGGGTGGAAT